TTATATTAGACACATTTTTAAAAATTAACAAGACCCAATAATGTGTGTAGAACTGACAGTTTAAAGCATAGATATGTAAAAAACCGACACACTTATGATAAATTTACTCGTGGTAAGAATACATAAATTGAGTAAGACTCTTGTCAGCCCTTATTAGCCCTTGTTAAACTATTATCGATGTTACAATTTAGTGCTATATGTCCATTAAGCTTGAGGGCTGAGGTGGCAGCCCAAATATCATGTGTACTCATCTCCAGTACTTAAATGAATGAAATCATAGTGGCTTGATACACTTTAATATAAACTAAATAGAATCGGTACATATACACTCATAATGCAGGTACTTACACACATACGGATATATTTTTTCTATTTCAATGGTATTTTTTATCTATCACCAATTTTTCTAAAATAACGAAAAAAACAAAATTAAATAATAATTAAATTTATTTACATATGCTACATGATTTTACGTTATTTAAAACAGTGTTTGTGGTTCTTTCTTTCCTCTGCAAAATTTAATTAAATTAAATAAAATAAATTTTTATTTATTATTTTTTAAATTAAATCATTTGCCAACCGCCAGTTTTGCAATTAAAAATGCACTGAAACCGAATGAACCACCGGAAACTAAAAAGGTCAACCACAGTTTAAATGCAATTGTGAAGAAAAAATATTGAAAATTAGTTAAATAATATTAATATTAAATTAATAGAAACAATTTCCTACCGAAAATTTAATTCAAAGAAGTCCAAATTGCAATGGAAATTGCATTGTACGTTATGGAATGAAAAAGCGTTGCCTAAGGGCAATGAATAATAAAATTAATTAAAAGTAAGTAATTAAATAAATATTGTAGTTAAAAAGTCCATACCCTGCCATACCCTCTCTTTAGTGCACCTTAAATTACAAGTTAGTTAACATGAAAATACTCACTTTTACTAATTCCTTGGCGCAATAGTGTCTTAAGCCTGTCACAACATACCCTTCCATTTTCGCAGACTATTTCTATCCATTCGACAACGCCTCTTCTTTATAAATCTATATTGAAAAGTAACCGCTTTCCAATCGATTAGTTTGCATAAAGGTTAGAGCCTTACTTCCATACATGCCCCTATTTTAGTTATTCTCCAACGAGTAGCGTGAACTGAATTTTACCTGGATGATACGTAGATGAAGGCTTCAACAAAATAAAGTTTATTGAATTAATGGTAAGAGATATATCCTATTTGCTGATGCTTAATTACTACATAATTAATTTAATCATGTTTACTTTATTCCTTTTCGTCACTATCTGAAACTTCAAGCCAAGACTATCTGAATTTTCTACTATATTAATATCTACATACGTATATAGTGAGTCAATTAATTTTAATGTTGTTGTTGTTGTAACCCGCCGGGACCTGAAAGCAGATAACATGAAAGGATTACAAGACGAATACATGGGATAAGGAATGGAAAAGGTGGGAGTGAGTGTTGGGATGGAGAAAGGGGAGGGGTAGGAATAATTTGAAACTGACCAGGATTCAGTCGAAGAAACCTAGCTACTTCAAGGGGACGAGTCCAAAGGTCGATTGGACCTTCACAATTAATTTTAATCGGATGTATCGGTTGCTCAGAAAGTAATAAAGTAAATCTTTATCGAAATTTTCTCAGATGTGAATCTCTATATTTGCAGTTTGACTACCTTTAAAGTAAGAACGTCCCACATAAGATCCTCCTTCTCGCATTAAAGATCGAAAAAAAAATCATGTATTATAGATGCCTGACATATACAAAGTTGGCACGATTTCATTCAATAAAGCATAGATGTGTTGCACCTTAGATGTCATAAAATGAACGCATAAAATTTAATTCAATGCTTATTTTAATCGCTAATTGGTTAGTAGCAGTATAAACACTTAATACTAATTGTACCATTATGCTTATCTGGGTTCTCTAATTATGTAGTGTTAACATATGCAAGTTAATATCACATCAGAGTCACCAGTTTTTACTTTGTCTATCGTCACCAATTGTAGAATTTTCTGCTTCTAATTTTATGAAATTAATTATTTGTAAATCCAACTATAAATACCCAATAAAGGTTAAAAACGGATTACTCGGAAGGAAGTGCTTATATATTTCACAGTTCATATATAATTTTTTATATTTGTCTAATGTTCTAACAAGCTATTCAAATTTCTGTTAAAAATTATGTTGTACTCGTATAATATATTACGGAATGATGTGATGTTGTCGGGAGTATATCCGATACATATTATATAAATCTTTTCAACTTATTATGCAGCGGGTAATATTAACATCTGAATGGTTTCAATAAGTTTTAAATACAACTCTGTCAAGGTGGTAAAATATTTACTTGCTTTTATATAAAACAACACTGCCAAACTTGTCAAATATTTATTTAGTATTTAAAGGTAGTACAAAGGTTAGTAGTATTAGTTGAAAAAAAAAAATTTGATAGAAATATATTTTTCATTTTGTTACTGAAAGAAAAGTATCGAAATCTTTGGACTTTCATAAGCTACTATAAGATATCTGGTGAGAACTTTACCTATAATATATAAGTTTTAAACTAACAAATGCTGTATATATTTTAGTTTGAAACGGTACAATTGGTCAGTCGTAAGTAGATAATATTACACGCTAAACATTTATTAAGGTAAGTATGCCCTAGTGATCTATTAAAACTACACTCCAATGAATAATATTTTAAAAAAGAACATAAAATCGCATCGATTTTAAAATAAGTTAAAAAGCACGAAAGCTCTTTGTATGATTAATGAAATTTACTTAGTATGTTAAACTTACTAAGTAAGCAGTGGAAACATACTGTAAGCTAATGAGGAGGACGTGTTTAATAGCTCAATGAATTCATTAAATAAAGTTGCCTAACCTTTTAGCGTGTACTTCTTTGCTCTTTTAGTACGTTAAGATCATTGTTAAGGGAATAATTCAGAATTATATCGCCAAGCGGAGCTGAATACTCAGTATTCACCAACTGAACAGATATATTCAACCATTCAAATGAAGACAAGAATGTCAAATATTGAGAGAAAAGCTCCCATCTTAATATTATAATCTTGCCCCAAAGCTGAACAAACTCGTTATAGACACTGGCACCGTTTTGTCATTTCAGACAGACCTATCTTATTAAGAGTATAGCGCAGATTTTGATACTTCGTCAAGTTATGCACCTACAATAGTTAGCATAATGTCTTATACGTTATCTTATTATATTATTACAATATTATTAAGTCATTCTTTTTCTGGATTATTCTCTACGTAATTCTTTATATTAAACGATTGATAATATCTAATTATTTGATTGAAGTCGATATATAATTATAGTACAAACTATTATAAAGCCTATATCTGACTTTTTTAACATATTTCGTTCACAATTTTTATATTTGCTTTATATTTTCAGATTCGTCTTACTTTTTCGTAATCTATTCGTTATTTACAAAATTTGTAAAATGACGAGAACTCATAGCAAAAGTCCTAAGTATCGTAATCGCGCTGGTCACAATGATTCACAAGATGAAAGTGAAGACGAGAATCCGCAAACAAGTAATCTCGAAATAGTGATGAATCAAATTGCTGATGATGAAGAAATTGAAATTGAAGCAGCAGCTTCATCTGATTCTACTGGCGGTAATGTCGAGAAACAATTTGATGCAAATTGGATGGGCTTAGAATTGGATATTAATGGTTTAAATAATACTAGTTCTTTAAGATCTTTTACCAATCAACAATTCGGTCCAAATTGGATGGGCTTAGAATTGAATAATAGTTCGCCTAACATTAGCTCTTCAATGCTATCTACTATTAATCAACAATTTAGTCCAAATTGGATGGGTTTAGAATTTGATAATAGTTCGCATAGTACTAGTCTTTCAACATCTGCTGCTGAACAACAATTTAGTCCCAATTGGATGGGCTTAGAATTGGATGATATTAGTACAGACTATATTCCACTAATAGCCTCTACTACTTTTCCACAATATAATCCTCTTATTACAATAGAGAACGACATTATTAATTTTCTAATTCTGAATATGGACTGCCATCCACTCATTATTATTCGTCAAATTCAAGCATTGAATCCTGAAACCAATCAGATTGAAAGTAATTTCACAGGCACTGGAGATTTTGACTACTACGGTGTCAATGAAGATGAAGACGACAGTGTCGATGACGATGATGGTGATGATGATGATGGTATTGGTTTTGGTATTGATGTTGGTGCTGGTGGTGGTGGTAATGCTGATGATGTTGGTGTTGATTTTGGTGCTGGTGGTGGTAATGGTGTTGGTGATGGGTATGGTGTTGGTGGTGATAATGTTGGTGTTGGCATTAATGTCGGTAATGGTGGTGAAAATACTGCTGGTGGTGGAAATGCTAATGGTGATGGTGTTGGTGGTGGAAATGCTGATGGTGTTGGCATTAATATCAGTGATGGTGGTGAAAATGCTGATGGTGGTGGAAATGGCAATGGTGTTGGTGGTGAAACTGTTAATAGTGGTGGAAATGCTGGTGGTGGTGGAATTGTTGATGATGCTCGTTACAATGAACATAACGGTGATGACGATGATGACGGTAACAGTTACGATATAAACAACCACTATGAAAATAATGAATAATATAAGAAAGATGAAGGTAACGAATTACTCATATGTAAACGAAAAAAAAAGGAAACGAAATTTGACTATAAATTTTAATCATTCATGGCAAATAAAATTTTATTTAAAGTACAATGGCATATATATATATCTATATTTAATATAATTAAAAAATAAATATTATATCTACATTAACTTTAACCTTTACTTTTATCCAAAATTTATCAAAAATATATCATTTTCCTTTAGCTGTCGCTAAACACTGAATATTCGTTAAATTACTCCAATATTTAATATAATATATTTAATCTTCAGGTTTTATAATTTTTTAAGTCATTTTTTATTTAAATTTATAGATTTATTTTTATTCTTTCTGCTAAATATAAATTCATATTTTCTATATTAATTTGTTGAAAATTTAATTTGTTTTACAAGTCCTAAGTAATTAAGAAGTTGTATCCATTCAGGAAGCGCCAAATATTTTGTTTTAATGGTCTCTTGTAGTGATCAAAGTAATTTTGAGCTGATACTACATATTCCTATAGAATATTATATTGATTCATATATTAATATCCATTACCAAAGAAATGTCTATTTAATTAAAAAAACAATTTTTATCAACTTACCATTCCAAAAACTGTTTGAACAAGAATATTACTAGAAGCCAAATGCTTCTTAGTTATGAAGTGTTTTATGAGTATTGGAGACGTGGCCTGAGAATTAAATATCCTATATAGTAAATATTTTTAATGTTATACAACAATATACCATAACTACTTGACCATCAAGAGAGTATTGTTCATCGGGAGTTAATGCATTACAGATCCAATTGGAATATGCCAGTAAACATCCGTTAACTGTTTTAAAAGTCTATAAAAATAATTCAAAGAAAACTATTATTTTTTTAAAAATAACAATTTTTCAAACCTCCTGTGTTGACAGTCCTACTGATAAATTCTTTTCTCCAGACTTAAACACTGAATAACGTGAAGGTACTTGAGATTCGAGATTGAGTTTTTTCGGGGATGCATACACTAGTCGACTATGATTAAAACCCATGCTAACCAAACGGAATGCCTGTCCATATCTGAGTGGTTGACCAAGTTTAATACTTTTATCGACTGGGTAAATACGAAAGGTGTTTCGATAATTGGAAACAAAGCAAGGTGCTAGCGTCACATCACAATCGATATGGCTGGGATCAAATTTGAGAGCTTCTTCGCTTACGGTCACAGAGAGAGCCGACTGTATATCTATATCACATCCATAATTGGGTGAAAGATATGGTTGCAACTGTACCATACCACCATAAGATATTTCAGCTGGCATTTGACCAATTTGTATATTACCCTCAAAAGTACTAAGAAGATCACGAGTTAGTTTTGCAACTAATTTACCTTTTGATGCCTTTGCTCTTAAATCTTTCATTTGTGCCTTCAAGTATAAATAACAAGAAAAGTTATAATCTATTTTAATTTGTTCGATATATTAATTTACTTGTCTCTCACAAAAATTCTCATACCAATAGTTGATTTTTATTCTGGGGCCGTAGTGCTTAACGATTTGCTGAGTTGACATCGTGTTTTTTGAATAAATCAATCAGCACGCTATAAAACAAATTAACACTTTTATAATATATTAATAATAAAGGGAATAACATAATAATTCTAGACTATTAAATCTAATCTCTTCAATTATAAATTGAAATGGTTTCAGGTGAAGAAACTGTATCATATATTTATCTTCATTTAAGGTAAGGTATGATTATAGTATTATGATATATAGTATTATGATTATAGTATGAAGTGATAAATAAAAACAGCATATTCTTATTTTAAATCACACAGTGATGTCGTCATAATTTCGTCAAGAAGAAGCAACAATAGAGTAATGTCAAATATTGAAATGAAATATTTTCTAAGTCAGCTCTATTAGGAACTATAGAAAAGACATCATTCTTCACTTTCCATTAAAACATCAAAACATCCTTTCTGGTTGTTGAGTTTTGCGAAATACATTAAAAATAAAAATAATGTTTAAACTACTTACTTTTAAAAAATATATCAAAATTTTGATTAATTTTGGGTTCGATTAGTAAAAACTTTACCTCGCAATATCTGAAAATAAATGAAACATAAAAATTTTTATAAAAATATCTATAAAATTGACTTTTAAAAATTATTGTATATTTTTTTGACTAAACTGATTAAAAATATTGAAGTGCAAGTAAATTTTTAATAACTGTGAAGTAAAATATACTTAAATTTAATAGATAAGACCGGAACCAGTAGTCGTTATCAACCTACAACAAGCCTTTCGTCATATTAAGCTTCAAAAGCTCTTAAATACGGTCTTTGGTCGAAATTGTATGTTAATTCGGGCTATAAATTTACGGTCTAAATAAACAAGTTTTCCTATTTTTTCGGTTTGTAGAGTTACCCCAAGGGTTTCATTCTTCGCTTGTGAAAAATATAAATGCTTGAAACAACCTGCGTTAACTGAAAGTACCCAGCCGCGTAAATAATGGATGCTGCATTTATAATCTGCGACTTGTTGTTTCAACCCAAACAGAACTGAAATGCCAAAAATATGAATGATTTACAAGACGAATATATGGGTTGGCATGAGATGTATGAATACTTTATGTTATATGAAATTCCAACAGCAGTCGTATCTATATTTTGAATCCCAATCATTTACATAGACGACCTAGTGCCGTTCAAACTTTTCATGAGCGTATCAGTATTTAATTGAGCACAACCCCTAACATATTTATTATATCAACTGAAATTTATTTTGTGACATAGCCCTGTATTTTATCTAAGTTCTGGGACAACTCAATTTTCAGAAATATTGTAAGTAAATTAATGCGTTGAACATTATTCTCAAATAGTTACATTATCAGTCTATTCCTAGTATAAACAAAGAATATATATGTAGTTTAAGTTATACATACATAATATAAGTTGTACACTAAAGCTGCACTTGATAATCTGTGTTGACGAATAACCCCGAGGTGGAGATTCAAACGCGACTGAAGCCTTAAAAAAGCTTTGCTGTATGAATTATCCATTTTACTTTTATAATATTACTCCTATTTTAGGAATAATATTTGAAAAAACAATAATTAAAAAAACTATTTTGATTATAAGATTATATCGTTTTTATTATTGGTGTTGTAATCGATGTCGGTAAGAGTATGTAGCTCGGCATTGTCAGATTGCAGGACGTAACGCTTCCGACGCCTGTAACGGATGATCGCATCTTAATTTCCAGATTATATATTAGCTAAATATTTTAGCTTTTTTCGAATTAAAATGAGAACTCAAATTGATTATTTATATTATTCTGTAGGATTATTATTCCTTATGGTCAGACCGATCATGGTTTGCTATCGAAAAATTATTTAAGAAATGCTTAATATATTATTTAATGTAAAATATAAATGTTTATAATCTACAAATAAAAAAAAAAATATATATATATACGAGGTAGATTACAGCTGACGGCAGCACTGTTGCAATTGAAGTAACTGCGCGGGAAATTCAAAAAGTCACTGACTTATCAAACCGCTCTCGTATATTCTACATACTTACATATAATATTATTTTAATAAATTAAAGATTATAAAAAAAACTACTGTATTTTGCACTTAATTTCACATGAATTTTTATTGTACTTCAATGTATTTATTTTTATAACATTTACTTTGTTATTATATATATATTATATTATTACATAATTTAATAATAGTTTTATTATCGTTCAACGTATTTGTTTTTAGTTTTTTTGTGTTATACATATTATTTGAAATGTTTTCATGTTTTAACTTTAGCTTTTATAATTGTTCACATCTTTTGGTATTTTATTTTTATTTAATAATTTAATACAGTCTACAATTTAATTACTAAATAATAAGTTTACTTATATATATATGTATATATATATATATATGTGCATAAACATATACGTATATATATATAAATATACATATATACATATATATACATATGTTTTATATATAATTTTGTATTAAGTATGACTTAATAAATAGACAAATATTTTTTTTATGTTTTATGTATCTATTTTTTTTTAATTATATTTAATTTTTTTTTTATTTTGTTATAAATAATCTCTAGCATTTTCAATAAAATCTTTAGCTAACAAATGTTTTGCATACATAATCAACTTTAACATTATAAATAAATCCATAACCAAGATCGATCCTTTGTATATCTGGTACTTCTCGACATCAACAACTTCACGTATATCCTTGAGTTGTCTGAAGTTAAGGTGGATATATTATTTATTTAAACTAGACTCATATATGCATAACAACAATTTTTTACCTTTACTATATAATTAATAATAATTTTATAATTTAACTTAAATTTAAAAAATACTTTTAATGTTAATAATATTATATTAATAAATCAATTAATATTAATATATATATATTATATACATATTAATATATAAAATATGAAATATGTATATAAAATATATACATATTAATATTATATTATAATATAATATTATATATATATTAATATTAATATATATTCTATTTAAATAGTGTTTATTATATTTATTTTTTAGATATTATATCCTTTATTATCATCATCTTTATATCTTGTATATTTTTATTTTTTGCTTTAGAGCTTTTTGATTTTCATTATACATTCTCTGCTGTATTGGAACTATTTCCATTTTAGTTTTTTTTTTTTGTGCTGCATATAATTTATATAGTTGTTAACTTATCTTATACATATAATAAAGTACAATAATTCTTAATTTTGGTTTTGGTATATATTAAACAGAGTACACTATATATCCGTATTTGTTTTATGTTTTTATTACAATATTTTCTTTTTTTATGGCTTTTGTGTAAAATTTTTATTTAATATTTTATACTTTGGCAATTTTGTAATAAAATAATTATTTAACTGCATTTCAAAATCAATTTTACTGCATTTTATTCAATTTTTTATTTTATGTTTTAACATAAAAATAACGGTGGTTTCTTTAAATGTTATACATGATATATTTTTATTTTATTTTATAACATTATTACATACATACATTATCAATGTATATATGTAATATAATTTTCACTTATTCTTTGATTACTTTTCTAAATATTTTTCTATTTTTAGTACATATTTTATTTTATTTTTTATTTTATTTTCTATTTTATTTTGTTTTTGGTAATGAGACTATATGAGACTTTAATTATAATTTTGATTATTTTTTCTTTTTTATTTTTAATTTTTAATAAATATAGAATTTGATTTTAAGTTTAAATATGGAAATTTTTAAGCAAATTTAATTAGGATCTTTATTAAGTTTAGTAGAAAAAGAAGAGGAAAATTGTCTATAACAACCGGTAGGTAAATCTTATCATATGATAAAAGTTTTAGCTCGTTTCTGATTGAATATGTTTATAGTTTTGTAGTTTGAATTTGTGAGTTCTAGGTATACTTTCAATAGATTTAAGTGATTTCCTTATTGTTTTATTTAGAGTAGTAGTTACTTTCATTTTTAAACTGAATCACATCGAGAAGTTTATATTGATTTTCACAAGCAGTTTGGAATTTCATACATGAGCTCCTATATAATATTTTATTTAAAAAGGACTTTTTTTTTGAATTTTTACAAGTTGATTCAAATTAAAATTATTTTCTTTTTATTATTTAAAAAAAATCTTAAATATTGTCTCATTTTTAATTTTTAATTTTTTAAATAAATAATTTATAGTAAGTTAAAAATAATACGAACTTTTAAACTTAAACTTAGAATAGCAGATCATATTTAGATAAATAATTATCTTAACTTAAATCATCTGCTGTTTAAAGCCATTATCTATCATCAAACTAAATTTATATAAGTGATGTAAAGATAAGGTATTATCTTGACTTACATCGTTTGCTGTTTGAAATAATAATCTATTAACAATAATTTAGTTTTGTGTATGTTATACATAGATAAGTACTTATCTCGCCTTAAATTATTTATACTGTATGAAATAATAATCAATAAATAATAACCTAAATACACACAAGTGATGTCAAAATACATAATTGTACCTACTAAAATTATGTAAACTAATATAAGTTCTTACTGTTAAAATAAGATAAATAAATAACAAAGATAAATTTTTAAATTATTAAATTTTCAAACGAAAAAAAATATATTAAATAAAATATATATTTCCATCCTAAACAAACATTTATTGTTGTACCTAAATCCTTATAATTTTATTTGTTTATAAAACTACACACAAATCTTTAAAGTTAACAATGAAATAGATTTGTAAAATATAACTTATATCGCTCCTAAATGATTATATTTAACATTTTTCTTATATAATTCTTTATATAAAGGATTCAATAATTGTTTTATTAGTTGGCCAAAATCGAATGCAGCTTTGAAATCTTTAAAAGAATATATGCCAAAATAAATATATTTTTATGTGACATAATTAAATTATAAAATTAAAAGTATAATGAATAAGAATATTTGAAATATAAAGTTTAATACTATATACCATTTAATAAATATACAAATATTAGTTAGCTCAGTTTTAAATTACTGTTAAATTAAAAATTGAATATTAATTCGCAACCGAACCATATATGAACTACATGGAATTTGTCGCAGACTCGCTCCTAAACTTAACCTAACCTAAGTTGGATTCATCTCTTAATGGTCTTTGGATGGTACTTATAATTTATATATTTGATTATAATATCTTAGTTTATAAGCCAAATTAAATCGATTAAAATAAATTACAATTAAAAAGAGGTTTCGAACCCAGTTAAACATTTAGATATATTTCAAATATGTTTACAACTAGAATATTCTTATTTAAAGTTGTTAATGATATTTATAAATATGCTTCAGTGATATAAAATATGAGAAAAAAATATCTTTAAATATAGTGTACATTATTTTTAAGGTCATTTAACTAATATTATTCTATAATTTTCAGATAAATGATAAAGAAAAAAAAAGAGTTTGAAAAACATTAAAAATAAGTATTATAATTAAAAAGAAAATTATAAAAATAACAAAATACGTTATTAAAGTAAAAACATAAATAAATTAAAAAAATAAAAAAAAAAAATAAAAAAAAAATTAAAAAAAAATAAAAAAAAAAAAATAAAAAAAAAATAAAAAAAATAAAAAAATCAAAAGTGTTAACATTTAAAAAAGAAACAAATTAAATAAAAATGATGAAAAAATTAAAATTATGATACAATTACATTTTTTAACATTAAAAATGTTAATATAAAAAAATTATTAAAATAAAAAATATTAGTAAAATAAAAAATCATTTATATAAATATATAACAAATCATTTAAATAAAAAGAAATTTTTAAAATAAACATAAAATTATTAAAAGAAAAATAGAATGATGATTTTTGTTGTAACTCAAAAAGAAATGTAGTTACATTTAATAATATAACTAAGGCGCTATTTTTCATAAACTTTCTTCTCTTCTTAACTTTTAAGTTAATATTTAGTAATGTTTTGTAAATACATATATAGATTGGTTCAAATCAAATTGCAGCAGATTTCAACCTCACAATGCGGTGGTTTACATTTCTTCCTCTTGACTATGAAAACAAATGCTAAATTTTATATCGGACACCTTTCCCAATTCTGCACATATATTTCTTTTATATATTGATTTGAGCCAAGCTACGGCAGATTAAAATTATTAAAAAATAATATTTCAATATACACAAGTTGTTTAAGAATAGTTGTATTAATTTTTTTATCTTTGTGTTATGCTGAATATAAACACCCTTATACTTTATAATTTACGGAAATATTTGTAATATATATGATATTTTTTAATAAATTTTAAATAGATATATATTTATATATTTTTAACTAGTTTAAAAAATTTTAACACATATTTTTTTTTTAATTTAATACTTTTTAATTTTTTTTTAATTTTTAAATTTTTTATATTTTTTTTTTTTGATTTTTTTTTCATAAATTCTTAAAGCTTGTTTTGAGTATTTAAATTTTAAATAATTTTCTGTTTGATTTTGATATAAATATTTTGATAACTTCATTTTCTTTAATCCAATTTTATAATTTTTTTATATATAATAATATACCAACAAACATTTAAACATTTATAATGCGATTATCATAGATATAAGATACTTTAAGCTTTTAACATTAAGAATAAACAGCAACATTTTTTATTTTTCTTATTTAAAATAGACATTAAAATATAACAAATATACATATATAATTGTATTATAATTCAATATTGAATTATATTTTCTTAAAATTATTTTTGATTAATTTTTTTATATACGTATATTGGTATCACAAAATAAAAATTTGTGTATTTTTTGTTTTTTGATATATATTTAATATCATTGTTATTATATTTTAAATTAAAATAATTATCGTGACATACATTTTGGGGCTCGAGAGTATTGCATGCACGAAGTTTGTAATGAAGAGTTCCTCAAATGCACAAATTTTCATTTTACAAATTTTAAATATATATATATTTTCTCATAATTCCTAAATAACTTGTGTATTATATTGATCCTTTTTTTTTTTGCATATATATTAGAAAAATAATTCTTCATTCAATTATATATAGATCATATGGTGGCGCCTTAATTACATTACTAATATATGTATTAAATATATGCAATATATGCATTAAAAATAGTATTAGTTATAATTAAATCATTTCAAGAAGTTGAATTTTTTTTCACAAAATGTCCAAACTGAGCGAAAAACCAGAATGGATAACAAGACGAATACATGAGTAAGGATGGCCTGCTGGAATAGAGGTGAGAGAGTTGTCGTTCACAAAGAACGATGTTCAAAAATCTGTTGAAATATTTAAGTCTAATATGTTTTTTTTAACCAAACCCCTTAATTTCCGTTGTAGCAGCGGTTTGGGCTTCTAAAATCTCCGTTCTTAATGATTCTCTTTCATACTTTTTATTTCGCACATTTTTCCTTTTGTCTTAGAAATTTATCTTCAAATATTGGCGTTAGGCATCTAAGAAGCTTTCTTCCTTTAAGCTTTGTTTTCAGACCACGTTTCAGGATTTTTGACTGTGGCATTTTTGACATATAAACAAACCACTTAAGTTAATGTTTGAAATAGTATTTTAACTTATGACTGTTTTATTGTATGTTATCAATTTTCTGGTTGGTATCAAAATTTAATAGAAAAGGATTCATTTTTTGTAACATAAAATAATCATCATTAAATTTAAAAATTATTTTTTAAATAATAATTTACGGATTCAAATATAAGTTTATATAAAATTTAGTAGAAATGTTTATATCAACAAATGTTAAAAAATATTTGGATTTCTTTTATTAATTTTACTTTACTTTTGTTTTAATAGAATATAGAAATAATATATATAAAAATAAGAAAATGTAATTTTTAAAAATAGATATAATTATAAAATGTAATTCATAATTTTATAATTTAAATTTAAAATTTTTTAATTTAAAAAATATGATTTATAAAATAGATATAAAATTTTTTAAGTGTTTTTAATATTGTTAATAAATTCATTTCTAAAACCAATACAATCTAAAAAAAATTAGTGTAAAGTATACATAATTCTTACATTATTTGCGATTGATGGATGTTCTTGTGAAAGATTATTTACTTAATAAACCAATTATATATGTTACTTTATATATCTATAATATAATATACAAGAGTTATTAAATAAAAGTAAACATATTAGTAAATAATAGTTTCAAGATTAAAAACATAAAATACACATAAATGCATTAATAAATAATCTATTTGAAATGAATAATTTTTTCAAATTTAAAAATTATAAATGTATACTTTTATATATTTATACAGATAACTTAAAATACATATTTTAATGTTATTTAATATTTAAAAAATCAAGTATCAAATAGGATTTGATTTATTGTTTATGTTTAAAAAGCTTTTCGTTACAGTTTGTTTTCAACATTAATTATATTATAGAAATTATTATTATAATTACTTGTTTTAAGTTTACTTTTTATTAAAAATATGTTTCCCATGTAAGGTTTTTTGTGAACTTCTTAAAAAAAAATTGTTTTTTAATCAAATAAATGTATGTACTTATATAGTTCTTTCTTATATAAATAAATATATATAAAAAGTAAAATTAAAAACCATATTTTTTTAAAATTTACAAAAAGCCTAAAATAAAAAATATTTCACTAATAAAAAGTCATAACTAACATACATTATTATGTTAATATAATAATATCATATAATAATAATATATAATACTTATAATAATATACACTTATTATAAATGTTAATAATTATAATAATATACAATATTTATGATAATATGTAATATTTATAATAATACATAATATATAAAAATCATATATATATTATATTTATCTTATATTTATAATTAATCTTATAAACAAACTATAACAAGCCTTTTAAATAAAAATAAATATATATAAAACAGATATATTGTACTTAAAAAAGTTAAAATATAAAAAAATTTCTTTAGTTTAGATTCAAAATCTGTTTCCAAGAAACTGGGATCCACTTAGGTCGTATTTTAAAAAAAAAAATTTACTTAATCTCCTTTTTTCAATTTATGTTTGAATATTGTATATTTATAAATAGAAAAATTAAGCTGGGTTCAAAACAGTTTTAATGTAAATATAATATTTGAAATTATTTTATAAATATAAAATATTAACTAATAATATAATATATAAAAAAAAACATGCAATTAAAATAACATAAATAAAAATTTAAGTATAAAGAAAAATATGATTTTTTCTGCTGTATAGTTAATATATATTTAAATGGCGAGTATTTTTTTTGTTTTTGCATACATCTTCATACATATTCACAATAAATAACTGCACTTATATACTTTAATAAACTCTTGTTTATAGCTTAAATTGTTTTATGATTCAATTTCTTCTATATTTGGATATTATAAGCAACTTAAGGATTTTTTATTCCAAGTACTTTGGTTAATATTTTTTTGTTTTCACAGCTATCTACAACACAAAATATATAATTACTTATGTATACAGCACAAACTTATTTAAATGCTTCCACTAATTAATTATATATAAATATTATTTATTATTATTGTATTTTTATAATTTTAATAAATTTTCACATATTCCATCATTTTTTAATCACGCAATTAAGTTACATCATATATCATATATTTATATTATTTTAATTGTATTAAATAAAGTATTTTAATTTCAGCAAATTCAACAATATTTCTTATACGTACAATAGCAAAGGGAAAGAGTTTTCAAGTTCATAATCATAAATTTTATTTGTAATAGTAAAGTATTATATGTATATATTTTTGTATTTCTTAGATTTGCTTAAAATATTCGCAGAAAGTATGCTTTTTTTTTATTTTGCTAAAACTGCTTTTTATTACTAATAGAATAGCATTTATATTTTTCATTATTTTGTCATTTTTTATGGCTCTTTTTTCTAAGTAATTTATTTACCATAGATTTGAAAAGATTCGGTTTTATTCATAAATACCCGAGCGTAGCATAAGTTTTGACAAAAGTTCCATCGCTGGTGGTATTTCTGAAAGTAATTCCTTCAATAAAACATTCCAAGTTATTTATAAATAATTACTCACTCATCTTCCCAGGGACAAACAGCATTACGATCTGCTTCTGCAGTTTTAGTTGCATCTTCAGCGGCAGTTCCTGCAGCAGCACCACCACTTGCTGAAGTACCTGCTTTATCCTTATCCTTATCCTTATCTTTATCTTCGACTGAAGCCATTTTTTTACCATCAGAGTTACGTTTTTTGCGTCGTTTCTTAACCTCTTCATTTGGCACCGCATGACTCTCAACTGCAGACACTGTTGGTGCTGGTTTAATTTCCTCACACAATTCATCATCCACTGTGTCTAAATCTAATACAGCTAATGGTGCCAAAGATGGAGCTGGTGTGGGTGCCGGTGGTACATAACCAGCTTGGTTATCTGTATCTACAATATCATAGTCATACACATCTTTGCTATCAGCGCCGAATTGCATGCCCTCTTGATATTCATCTGTTGTGGGAGAGAGCTCCTCTTGCACAGCATACGCTTCTTCTTCTTCTTCTTGTAGTTGTGCTTCTTCTTCCATCGGCCCAATCTCAGGTGGTGGTGGTGGAGTCAGAGATTTTATAACGCCTGACATAATTGCAGTCGATTGCTGTGGGCTATTAGTTGTAGTTACTTCTTTAATCGGAGATTGTGTAGCTGAACGTAATTTAGTTGTTCCACTAGTAGCTTGTGTTGCTTCTTTCTCCACTTCAATAATCTCACACAAATTTTCATCTTCTTCATCTTGCGTAGCACAAGCTTCATCTACTTGTATGGTAGGTGTTGCTACATCCAAACGTGTGGGAGTAGTGCTCTGTGCATTATAGTCACATGTTTCAATCAATTCAATTTGTACCTCTACCTCAGTTTCAGATTCTGTTCCACTAACTGCTTCTGAAACTTCAACTTTTGGACTATCACCCGTCACATATTCTGTGATCACATCTGGTGGTGGCGGTGTTATTTTTGTAATGGGTGGTGGTGTTGCTGTTGAAGTGGGCGGTGACAAGGCTGGCAGTTCTGAAGCCGATGTTTCGCTATTCCGTGCCGATTTTAATACTTTACTCAATTCCTCTTCAATTTCAACATCGGATGATGACAGTGGATCTTTTGTTACGACATTAACACCACTAAAACCAGTTTCAGTACTGGCTTTTAAAGGTGTAAATAATGGCGCAAATGTTGTTTCTACTATGCAATGACTACCAACAGTAGGTGAAGGTGTTGTCGATGATTTTGTAGAAGTGGACGCACGTCCTAATTGATATTCAGCAAGACGACTGTAAGTACAGAATATGTAGTAAGTTGTATGATTTTTGTTTAAATTTGTTGTTTGCAAACTTACGTTGGTGTGAATGATACAGATGCTCTTCGTTGTTCTGTAAAGTTAGGCATTAAACGCTTTGCACCAGATTCACCGCTGTCTACCGTATGTTGATGCCGTATGCCCAAATTACGTTGCATACGATCCGAGACATCCGATATATCAGAAGAAGTGCTAGAAATAATGTATTAATATATTACGTAATGTATCATATATTAAGTTAAAATTTTGAGAGACGTTGAAAATAATTTTTGAAATTTTCCAATGACAAAATGTCAGAAACGGTGTTGTACACTCTTTACCCGAATACACAAAGAATAGAAAGATTTTAATTTTAAATTCACTCTTTCCCGAAAGGAAAATATACCAGCAAATATTTCATCACCACATAATGTTCGAAAATTTTCGAGAATCACGTTTTGCTCAAGCAGAATATTCGAATGCAAGAATCGTAGCGAAAATAAATACTGATAGCCTATTTCGAACCAAAAAATTACTATATCATTTTACTGAAACCAACAGTAACTCTTATTGTCATATTTGTAATATCGGACCGACTGGAAAAAGGCAAGTACATACAGAGCAGTGATAGAGCGAATGACTGACGCTGAATATTTTTCATATCAGCCATAGCTCTGACATGACATGACCTACTTTGATGACTTGATGCAGTGTTCTCAACACAGGCATCAAGATAATGTGCTAATGGACGCCCCATTGGAATTTTAAACGTACCAATTGAAATTATGTTTTGGTCTAAGTTTCCTGATTTTTGGGTCACACCAACCGCTTAAAAAACGCAACTGCACGCCGAACGAATGTAAATAAATTTAATCATTCTACTCGCGTAAGTTTTGGTTTTAACTACACCCAAATTGACACTGCAAACCTCAATTGGTTAGGACAACCGAAGCTGCGGTCACTGATCCCCGTGGTACCAGATATACACCTCCGGTCGGATGGTGCAAGTAAAAACTCAATCACTAACATTTACACTTCAAACAGTGTCGGATGGTGCCGGTGTTTTAGTCGGCTCTTACGACAGGCATGCCTTACTTTGGGAATATTGTAACCTCTATCCTGCGGGAGGCACAATATGGACAGTAGGTGCTAAAAGCTGCCAATATCCGGTTGGTACACTTGTCTATAACACAGTGACCCCTCATTTAGGAAGGTGTTTTTGATAGAATACTTCTGTTTTTTTTTTTGCTTATGAATGGGTCAATTTTTACGTGTGATTTAAAATACATGCTCTTCGAGCGACCTTTAGGTCTTCATTAGTATAAATTCTGTGTGTATAGCCAGTTAAACTCAAACTAAGAGATAGTTCACGTTTATTGGAATCATACAATAAAATGTCTGAAGCTTCGAATAGCTTAAGTAATATTTAGAACTCAAGAATTCATATTTTAAAATAGCGCGTTATATAGGTTTGTATAGAATAGAATGGAATTATATAGCTTACCTAGTAAGGCGTTGTGAACTACTTTTTGCGGCGGGAGTTGGTTCACTTTCCTGCTCCCATGGACAAACTGAGAGCTGAACTTGATGAGTAGATAATTTAGGCTGCGGTGCCGGAGTATCATCAGGCAAATCCCATGGGCACACAGCACTACTTGTTGTTTCAATTGTAGTCTCCAGTCTTGCAGTTTTCGGCTTCGGTGTTTCTCTATGATCATTAAGTATAAAATATGTTTAAGTATATAATTTCAAACATCAACGTGATAACACATAGAAATATGTACACTACACAGATACATGAAATCTTTTTACAATTTGAATATATATATAGTAGTTAAAATCACAACAAACAGCAATTATATTTTTAAAATTTTTATAAAACAGCATAACGAAGTATACAATAAAATGTATTAGAGAAAGTAAAATAAAATGGGTATTAATGTTAAAATTAAAGTTAAAAGATTAAGTAAAAAATTAAACAAATTCAGTATTAGAAAATATAGATTTTATGCAGCAGTTTTAGAGAAAATGTACGACTCGACAGGGTTTTGAAATGTTTGATGTTAAGGACTATAAACACAAAGCAAAGTCAATACATTATAGTTTACAACATTTATCATATAGCATATATTATTTGGACTATAAATAAAATAATTATAACCAAAAATATGCCGGAAATGATGCAGCACACACAAAATTGGACAGCAATTGAGATTTTAGCAGTTAGGAACACAACTTTTGAAGAATTTTATATATAAAAACAGAAAAAAAATTTATTGTAAATGTATGAAAGGATTCTTTTGTTGTACGAAAATAAAGTGTTAGGTCCTTACTGATGTGTTAGCAAACTAGTTTCGCGTAATCCGTAGGCAGCATAGATTCCAGCATCCATGACCACCATATGACGTTGTGGCATATCGCCTCTGTAAATCGTATCACTACTAAATGCAACGATTTCAACGGTTTCAACGAGTTTCAGATATTTTTTGTGTAGGATTTGAAGTTTGTGACGCATGTGGTGGTACGAGTATGATTCAAAATCAAAAATATTTTGCAAAAATATGCATCAAAAAAATAAGAGATAAAAATACAAAATTAGAATCAAAATCAATTTAACCAATTGTCATTGTTAAAAAGCAATATTTATTTTATTTTAACGTTTAACGTTTAACGTTTATTCAAATCTTTTGCTTTTAGATTGCGCTAAAATAATTAAAATTTCAAAAAAATTATATTTTATCTTAAGAAGCAACATTTACCCATACAATAATACTTAGTGATACCTGAAAACACAGAGCAGTGCTTTCACAAAAGACTCACTCACCTATACGGAATCTCGCTTAGGTTACTTTGAGAATGAGAATGTGGCACTTTTGAACTGGAATCTTTGTTGACGCCAATTACAGCTAATTCATGTGCTGAGCCTGTTAGACTACGATCGCTACCACGGCGACGTGATAAGCTACCAGGCGGTGGTGCTTGCATCATGGCAACGGTAGCTTTGGCGGAGGAACCTTCACCTAAATTTGGCTGACTTGAGAGTGCAGCAGTCATTTTCTTTTTGGCACCACCAACTCCGCCGAAGTTAAAGAAACGTTTCTTATGTGATGGCTGTATGCCGGACTCTAACAAACGTTTATAATGATCGGAGCGGACAAAACGCGGATAGCAGTCCTTTTTGAGTAGGAGCATATAAATATGTTCTGATGCAGAATCAAAAGTAAAACGTGATGGATTCTTAAGACCTTTTAGAACGCTCTCCATTGTTTTGCCATCTATGTTGATTTCACACGGAGCACCAGGTTTAAGAAACTCCCTAAAATTAATAATCAAATTCAATAAATGAGGTTATAGTTATATAGTATTTGTTAGCAAAATATTATTCAAAAATTAAGAAATAAATTTTAAATATAAATAATTTATTAATAAATTAAAAAAAATTAAAAATAAAACTACGACATAAATATATTAAACACAGTTTTCTATTCAGTTCTCTCCAATAATAATAAAGCATTAGTACTTAGATTATTTTAGGTTAGATACTATTTCAGACTATATTCTGCTCTAAAGTACAATTAGACTTACTCATAAATTTCGTTAACTTTTCGTGGTACTTGTGAGTGCGCGGAGCGACGTAAACGATTCACAGCAATCCAGAAGCGTATATTTTCGTGTGAATATTCTTTTTCCAAGAAGGCTGTGAACTCTTGTAAACCAGTCGGATCGGAAACAAGTTCTTCGATTGATATTGCCCAACGTTTAACACGTTTCTCTGTTGGCACATCAACAAATGTGTTATTTAGTTGCCAGAATGTAACATCTTCTGTAACCCAAGGATTGGATGGCAATACGGCATGTAAAAAGAAATCATATTCAGCAAATGTTTCTGAATAGATAACCAGCGATTCACATGCTTGTGACATTTTCATGCGAGTGCGATTCAAAGACTTTTTCAAGTAATCCACTTCACGTTGTACGTCCTCAAGGGTTCTACGCTTCGGTTTTGAACCGAGACGATCTCTCGATGGTATTGGGCACGGTTCTAATGGAGTAAACTGACCTGGTGGTGGACGGTGTACACGCCAATAGGCACGTTCCTATATTATATTAAATATATTAATATATATATAGTGTAAATAAAAATAAAGAAATCAATTACATACCTGTGAATCGCCAACAATCTTATCACCTTTCTTACGTTCCTTTGCTAGCTGTACTTGTTCCGCTGCTTGCATTGTTATAACAGCCCATTTACTTTTTAAATTTACTTGAAGCGAAGCTAGAGCATCGTTTTCATAATCTTCCAATGCATGTCTTTGTTTATTACGCAAATTTCGCTTCACTAAGTAAATGGCATAATCAGCATTATCCGGCGCCTTATGTTGCCAGGGCCAGTAATATGGTGTTTGAAAACGATACAATGAAGAATCATCTTTGACTGCTAATGTTTTTGTATCGTTAACAGGGAAAAAGTAACCATGCAAACATAGTTGATTGGCGATATTAAGTGCTTCAGACTCCTCGATTAGTAACCGGTCCATTAGCCACTCAATGAGATCATAGCCTGAAAACATTACAAAAGTGTTATTTATTTAGCTAAATTTAAAGAGAGAAAAAATATGTTACCCATAAATGCATAAGGTATGGAGGTGAGAAACATTTTCTGCTGACGCACTGGTACGCCATGCTCCGGATCTTGCATTTCACGTACTAAAGCCTCCATCTGAAAATAAGATACGACAGTTTAATAAAAATTTTTTTGGAAAAACATCTCCATTTGTCAAAATCAACAAATATGTTTTAAAGCTTAGTATAAATTTTTTATATTTTTTAATAGTGCTTTTCAGAATAATTTCAACGAATCGTCCTCGAAAGTTGTTACTTTTTTTTCTAGCAATAAAATGGAATTTTGACATTCAATGTCGTCGTCAAACTAAAATCTGTTGACAAACTTGTGTCTTAACGAGGAAGAGTATGCACAGAATTGGCAGTTCCTTTGGTACGCCGCCGTTTCCGTTGACTATTAGCGATTTGCATCAGGGACAGCTTCCGAGGCAACTAACTTAAGTGCATTTCCTTGACAGTGTAGACTTGCATAGAATAATATTAATTAAAATTCAAGGATGTGTGCGGCTACGACTGAATTTGTGACAATAAGAAACTGTTCTATACTTATAAAAACAATGCAAAAAACTTTATATATTTATTTCACAACACAAAAAAAAACAACTGAGTAAACTGTCAGTTTCAAAAAAACTTTGAGTAAAACATATTTTTTTTAAATAAATTATTTTCTTATCAAGTGAACAACCAAGTTCCGAAAACTTCTTGAGATATTATTAACGATAGAAATTATATTTTCTGCATTCAAATAGTGCCTCATATTATACAGCATCCCACATACTTAAAGATGCGTTTCTTTATTCTTTTACTAATTTTTGCTATCGGTAAGTGAAAAGTATTTAAATTTTTTAATTTTTTTTTTTTTTGGTTAAAAAGGGATTTATATACAGCAACCTCAGGCCTAAATGTTTCTGAAGGAAAACGTCGCATTAAACGTGGTAGTTCCGATTCGCTGGCTAACAACACCAAGCTTTCTCATGATTTTGTACAGCTTCGCAATGATATGACCAAGAATATTGCACCGCAGGAAGCGGATTCTGGTGCCACCAACACCAAAAAGGAAACCAAGGACGTGATTAGCACTGATAAGGGTAAGTTCGACAACATTTGGACATAAAAATGTTTACCATCTTCAAAATTGAATACATAACCTCACACATAACCTTAATTTTTAATAAGATCTGCTGGTATGGTTCAAAGTTACTATTTGAATAAAATTCATCCATTGCTTCCATTGTTTCTCAATTTACTTATAGGTATATTGTTCTCCCTGAGATAATTATCATACATTACTGATATATATAATACTAGCAAATCCCAAAAATCTATTTTAAAAATGTACATAATGTTTTTAATATACAGAGGCCCTTTCATGTAAGCTTGGTGTTGTAAACTAAGTAATCTAACCGTTTCTGGGGAAGTTTGCTTTTTATAACGTTATATATAGGTGTATTTGGGAATCCAAAAAGTAGTAATATAAATAGGAATGCAAAATCTTGCTTATAGCTGTTGTTATAGTTCTTTTGCTAATATTAAACTAGGAGCTAGATTACAAGGGGTAAAATGGAATGGAAAGAGAATTTAAAGGAATAAGATAATAACAGCAGAGAGGTAGCGTGAATACAGTGATTGTAACTAGCCCGCGTCAAAATTAAAAAATTGTGCCGACTCAATGAAGTGCAACAATGGATTAATAGGTCTCAGAAAAGTGTGCGCTGAGGAGGAGAAAAAAAGTGAAGACAGCATGGGAAGTTTTGCTGTCTTAGATGTTTGCTCAGACCTTATAGAAATTCTTGATATGTATTGTTGCTCAGTCGTGGTAATTCACTCGCGCCCATTGAGACAGTTAGTTAGCATTAGTTCAAGATTTAGACCCAGTCGCAGATGGTACCGTACGATTCCTATTGTGCCTATCCATAAAATAACTTAATATTAATCAAATTGGATGTAGAGTAGCACGTAAAACATTTTGAGAAACTGTTATGTTTACTTTAGAATAAGGTTTCGGAGTTTTTTTTTACTTAAATTTTTAGTATTTTAAATTTTTCCCATTTTCATCTTCAATAAATACAATTCATAAATTTTATATTTATTGATGACATCCAAAAAATATATACTTAATTGCTTTACTTTGCAGCAGTAGATCCTATTGCTACTATTGAATCCCCAATTGATTCCGTCACTAATATAAATGAAAATGACGCTTCCTCTTTATCATGTTTTAATGGTCAACAAGATGACTTGCAAACACTTACAGAAGAGCATGACACCAATTCCGTAGACACTAAAACTTCCAATACTGCTTCCGTAAAACAACGCAATAGCGGTAATCCGGCCTACAACAATAATGCAGTTCCGAAGAATCCATTCAATGATTTTGCAAACAAAGGTTTTATCGATAACAAAAATAACAATAGACGTGCATCTGCCAGTATCATTGTTATCAATAGGAAAACTGCTGCTATACCAGAAACTCCACGTGCATTTCGTAAGCCAGCCGAAATACGTATACCCCACCCGAATCTAGTCAAAATTACCGAAACTTCAATGCAAAATCATCAAGACGCCAAGAAACCCGAAGGTGTTAATACTGATGAGGAAAAAATTAACACGGATACTGTGGACAAAACTGGTAACAATGATGCTGATAATGATTTTGACCGTTTGGTCTTGGGCAAAGGTTCGTTAAACAAGCAACAAGTACCAGCGCAAGCTTTTCTACAACAGCAACCAGTGGTTCACGGTGGTAATAATTTGACACCAGTTGATAGTGTAGTTAAGCTAGCTAATCTATTTTTGTCTAAGATGGGCGTGGGTAAGTACATTTGCGAAACTACGTCTATATAAGTCAATTTAATTATTCATTTAATTTAAGATAACGTGCCGTTACAAACTCAGGGTGCACAATTCTCCTTTAGCCCCATTAATGCTAATACTATGGAACAAAATGATTTGAATGACTTTATCTATCGTGCCGTGGATCCAGGATTTAATGTTCGCTCAGGCAGTTTCATTCTACCTTCAGCAGGTATACCAGCCACTGGACAAATACAAACGGCTGTAGCATATGCGCCACCATTTTTAATGCCACCACCTTACAATGCAATGATGGGAAATGAACCATTGAAACCATTTAATATGCTGGAGAATGCTTTGGACTCGTTTTTAAATACTCCTTCCGAAGAAGAAAATAATGATGATGAATTTGAGTTACGTTGTCCAGTGCATATTGAACGCAAAAGCTTGGGCGATGGCACATGTGGCACAGAAGACGCTGATCCCAAAAATAATGTCATACAAGTGTGTGCCTGCCGTTTTGTTAAGAAGAAGAAGAATAACTGATTTAAAACTTCTGCACGGACTGAGGTTAAGATATGCGTTCCAAAACTTTAGATTGCGGTAATTATATTTTTATAAATTAAATATTTTATTGAATTTACATACATTTTATTAATAAAAGAGTTACTTTTTAAAAAATTAAATAAATGATATTTTTATTGCTTACCTTGTCAAATGCCATAGGCCGCGACAGCTTTTCAATGGTCGGCTGTTGGCTACCACTTGCACTACCGCTAGCTATACCGCCCAATAACGATGAGGATGCAGATACATTTTGTTGGGACGAGTGATGATGTTGATGCGGTTGCGTGTGGTGGCCAACAGTACTACCACTGAAAGCAGTGGCAGCCTGCGCCGTGGCTGAAATTGCAGTAGCCGTGGTTGCTAAGGCTGGTGCACCAACTGCACCGACATTGCTATAAGGTGTTGTAGCAGCTGTACCACCACCTGCCGGTGAAGTGGCAATATTCGAATGTGTTGGCTGCAGTTGTTGTTGTGGTAAATTCAATGTTAATACTGGTCGTACTGGCTGCAATGGCACCAATTGCTGTTGCTGCTGCTGCTGTTGTTGTTGCTGCTGCTGCTGCTGTTGTGTAGTATGCGGTGTATATTTAACCAATTGCCTATCTTTGTCTGGCGGTTCCATGGCCACAGCAATGGTATGCAAATTCGTACCTTGATTGGCACAATTTGTCTGTTCTTACTTTTTGCAGTTTAATGTTGTAATATTTTGTATTTTGTTGGAAAAATTTGTTTAATTTTTAATTTTTTTGCTTGTCACGTTGCTTCTTTGCAAATCAATTTCAAATAATTGAGTGCAAATTTTATGAAAATAATTAAATTTTTTACGTCGCTATTTGCTTTTAGCCAAATTCCATCATGTCTTTGTGTATAAAAATATTTGCTGGAAAAAAATTAAAAATATTTAATTAAATTGATAAATCCTACATAAATATAATGTTCTGAAATATTTATAAGCTGTGTGAAGCATAAATTTATGAATATTTTAAATGCATTAATGTATGTGACAAAATAATTTTTAAAATATTTCAAGTAAAATTAATTAAATATTCGAACAGACTATGAAACGGACTGTGGCGGACGACTATTTTGCAAAGTTTCACAGTAACTGCAAATTATTGAAACGGTTTCTTTCAGACAAATATATAGAGATTATATATGTATATAATATATATGTATATATATTAATAATTTTATAAATATATAGACTACACATTTTTACATATTATTGCATTACACGATTTCATATTTCACCACATTCTTATTCAAGTAACAGTTACGAAAATACGATCAAAAAGAAATGACAAGGGCTACCAGCATTTCACACAATTATTTATCGAAACGATCTTTAAACAAGTAACAAATTGACTTGTTTCAAAGCCACACGGACTTTATGCGCCTATAAAAATATAAGTAATATAATTACAATTATTTAGTTCTCTTAATTAATTCTCTAGACACCAATAAATATTTTTGTAAAGTATATACAAGCAATAAACACAAAACAAAATCAATATAACTTCAAATTTCGCTTTGAAAAAATTCAACGAATCAAAAATAATTTACTTTCAGTTCAATATAAGCAGATTGTTTTCCATCACTATTGGCATATCATTGTGTCGATGCATGATGCATGATGCAGCGTTATCTAATATGGCATTTACACTGGCCTCAAATAACAGAATTGGGCCAAAAATCACAAATGAGAAACAAATAACTAATTTCTGCACACAAAATCTCATATGCGTAAATGAATTCTATTTGCTGATTTTGTGCAAATGAGTTCCAACGAGTTACAAATGAGTTCCAAATGTAAATGAACACATTGAACATACCCTAAATAATATCTTTTCAAGGCATTTTGACAGTTTGAGAAAGCTGTTTCTGACATATTTACAAAAAATGTAAACAAATATTTGGTGGTTGCATTTTCTTGAAAACGATGCACCTACTTTTCGAAATTCTTCTTCCCAAAAAGTATTTAATCGAAGCTAAAAATTAATTTCAGTTTATATTGTAAGGTTTAAAGGTATATTTTACATTCATATAAGATTTTTTTGGCACAGGCCAAAAATCAAATCAACGTTGACAACTTTGACAAATCAGCTATTTGAAATGAGAACAAATGAAGAACAACGAATGTAAACACTTTCGAATGACTGATTTGAAATGAGCCATTTGCGGCCAATGTATGGTAAATGCCATATAATATTGAATCTCTCAAAAATTTTAAACTTTTCCACAAGATTCTTGTGATAAATATCAAACAAGATATAAATTTGAAAAAGTTTGTTTAGTTATATTTTAAGTATGTATATATATAACAAATAATTTCGCTTTTCCTTGGCATTGTTAAATTTATGCAAATCCAAACTGAGTTATATTTTGCAATTTAATATATACAAAAACAAAAATCAGCTGTTTTAAATATTTGCAAGACTAATATGCACAAAATACATTCATGATTATTTGAGTTTGCACATTCAACGATGCACAGAGATCTTGCAGCATGTAAAAAATGAGTTATGTTATTTTATATCTATTAAAGAATTGTTAAGGGTAGATATTAATTAAGAAACTGCTGTTACTTATATATATTGATTTTTTTAATCAATACTAATGCTAGTGCTTTATACACTAATTTTATACATGATAAAATACGTTTAGCATTAATTTGAATATAATTACAACAATTGTTCAGTAGGCAATGATTTTATACAAATTATATTTTTTACAAATTTGATTTTTTATTATTTAAAATTTTTTTTTAAGATCCACAATAGTTCAAAATTTTAAATCATGATTTGCCTTTACTAAACTAAAAATATTTATTGAACTTGGCATCACTGTTTTTCTGCTCTTGTCAGAGAAGAACGTAGCTTTCAAATCGTTGTTGTTTGTGTCGTTGCTTAGAAGTTATAGCAACAAAGTGAAGTAAAATTGTTAATAATTATAAATATCTGTAATAAATAACTTAAGGTTCTTAGAATGTCTGGTCGTGAAGGTGGTAAGAAAAAGCCCCTGAAGGCCCCTAAAAAGGACGCTAAAGAATTGGACGAAGCTGACATGGCATTCAAGCAAAAACAAAAGGAGCAACAAAAGGCGGTTGATGCTGCTAAGCAAAAAGCTGGACCGAAGGGTGGAAAGAAGCACGGGAAGAAGTGAAGTTGCTGATAAATGATATTTTCTATTAGATATATAAAATGTTTATATATATATGCAATAAACCATTAATGCATTTATTGTAAACAAATTAAGTGTTCATAACTTTTTTTTGTAAAACTATAAAAAGACTAAAAAGCGTTAAGAATTATATAGACTATGTAAAAACCATTTCAATATTTGGTGACTTAATTGTGATTCAATACGTAATGAACCAATAACGATGCTGATAACATTAGCTCCAGCTCTGTTACAAACAACTAATTCATTCATGACAATAGCTGTTATATGAACACTAAGAGGCGCTCATAAGGTAAGGATTTTAACTTATGTTTTTGATGATCAGTGGATCTTTTATTTGATCTGGAAATAATTTTTATAATAAAAGATTATCTTCATAGAAGTAGTATTAATAGTAATAAGTAATATAAAAATCCATTTTCATAAAGGTAGAACTAGCAGATTCTAATGTGGTAGACTGTAACAAGCGGTATGCGGAGTATATATATATATATATATATAATACCTATAATATATTGTATAATATAGTGTATTTATCATATAAAGTATATTCTTAACTCCTTATCTAGAACTTAATTAAAATTCATGTCTTATGCGAATTCTTCTCAGTCTTCAAACCAAATGTTTTAATATTTCGATCTTATGTTCATTTAAGAGCTTAACCGTTTGTGATACAACGGATGTATCTGTTTTATTTACTTAGAACAGCTTATAGTTGCTGGATGGGTTTAGGACTGAATAATAATTCACATAATATTAATTCCATTCTATTAAGTCGTGATTGGATGGGTTTATAACTAGATGACAACAATTAGAACAGTAGTAAATAACACAAATTGTTGCTTAAATTATTATCTATCTTTTGAAAATGAAATAGAATAATTATAATATTCCAACAAATTTTGGTCGTTAACTAGAAATAAAATTACGTTTAACTAATTGAGTGTATAACATAAAGTAGTAATACATTCTCTTATGCCAACAGTTCGGTACAAATATGGGTAGTTTGACATTGATAGTACTGCAAATCACATACTTTCGTCGACTTGTGACATGGTGCGTTATCTTGAAGGAAATATGTTTTCTTCAGCGGTTTTTATTTCGAAGCATAATCTTTCGAATTTTCAATTTTAAAACATTACATTTTAGATTTGTTCTCTATACATGTCTGCTTGCATTGCCCAGTAAAAATACCAACCAACCCAAATCTTATTGATTTATTATTTCATCTTTTTGAATTAACAAGTTTTCTTTGTCTTAAACTAGGGTATTTTTGTTAAGTACCTCACGCACACACTACACACATTCTTTCATCTTATCTTTCTATTAATATCGTCTCAAACGTCATCCTACGTCATGTATTTGTTTTATAAACACTTCATGTTTTCTGATCTACAGGTCTATTCCTCCCGGACTATAGCAATAAAATAATACCCTGTTTTGACAAATGAAGGTGTTGTTGTACCTCTAGAACAACGAACATAAGCTTGTGTTAACATTTATAAAAATATATGGTGAAAACTCAAAGCTATTCATAATAAATAGGAATAAGTTAATATCTTCAAAAAAAATATAATATATTTACAATTATATAAATGAAGGTACGGTGACTCCATATTGGTTTGATTAAGTTGGAGTGGCAGCCTTATGCACCAAAGGACACTTGAACAAAAAAATAGTTCATTATGATTGCAGGAATGAGATACTGTTTGTGCGATCTTAATAACCATCTTAAAGGTAGAAATTTGAAGTATCTAGCGCACGAACTGTATCCTTGTGAAGAGGCGCGAAGTCGCAAGAACCAACTTGACAAATCTGTAAACTTAAATACCTATGTACCTAATTTTATAGGATGACTCAAAGATACTGAATCTCCTACAAACTAGTCCAAGTTATTAATGGGCACTAATACAACAGATAGAGTGTACTGTCCTCCTAATCCACAGATTTACAACCCTGATAAAACCTATGAATGGATTGACCAAATCTACTTGTACGCAGTAAACTGTCAACAGCGATACTGTAGTATTGAGTGAGTTCCGTTTTAGCTCCAAACCTAATTTGGTATAAATTTTGTTCAATTTGGATCTGACTGCATATAACTCACATGATAATTTACATTAATATATAAGACGTATGTATGGTATATAAATGCCACAGTTTCTTAACATAATTAAATGTATCTTTTGTGTTTACTTGAAAAATAAGTTTGTTGTTTTTGTGTGATGCGGTGTGGTGCGGTGCGGTGCGGTGCAGATACAATTGAAATGAATTTTGTGTACATTAAGTGATTTATAATTGCGATTTTTATGAAAGGAAATTGTTGAAAATGTTTGTGTTTTGTTTTATTGAACAAATGAAATATAAATTTTTTTATATACTTACAATGTTTCATTTTCCGTTCCTATTTTATTTAATTAAATTAATTAAATTTTCTCACATATGTTGCACAATGATCACGTATCTAAAACAGTTTAAATCGTTGTACTTGTTATAAATAATTTTTTTCTTTAATTTATTAAGAGATTTTCTTTTATTCTTTTATTTTTTTATTATATATATTTTGTTGGTTGTTGTTGTTTTTTTTGTTTGTTTTTGGTTTTGGTTTTGTTAAATTTCCTTTTTAAATTTTATCATGCGAAATTTCGATTCCGCTCTTTGCATTTGAACATTTCGATTCAATCTTAAAAGAGTGTTTGCACAGAAATGTTCATAGTAGGGGAAATGCCATAGGTAAATGTATTCCAGAAATGTTGATTTTGTGCTGAGGTGAGCCCATTTAAGGCTGCAATCCATTGCGTCATTACAAGCGCATAAAATAAATCTGAAATGATAAAAATCGAAATTAAATCGAAATTTAGAAATATTTTTTGACATCAAAACTTAGAAGGAAAAAAGTAATTTCTAACTTATAAATTAAGCTGGGAAATGTTATGTTTCAACGCCTTAAAATATGCAACACAACTGCGTGTTACAAAACGAACATTTCAACATAAAATCATAATTTAAAGCCTTTCACTGTTAACATGAATGGTTTTAATCCTGCAGAGCTGTTGTGTCAACTCTCAAATGAATATTTGAGTACGTTTCTGTGTACGTATTTACGGATCCATCCATTCCATTCATTACTACCATTACTTACTACTGTGTTCATGTGAATGTTTTCGGTGTGTATTTCCTAGATGTTGACAGTTTGCACAAATACTCGAAACAGCAGCTAAATTTACAACTTTAGTTTGGCAAACAGTCCAAATAATTCCCTTCCCTTCTTCCCATTTTCTGGTTTGTTTTTTAAGTTCTCAACAATGAAAAGTATCACTTTTGGCCTTTTCACCTCCTTTTATACACTTTTCCCCCCAAAAAATCAAAATTTGCCACGAGTGTGAAATTGGTTTCGAATTTCCCCCTGGTTTTTTGTAGTGCTGCCTTGTCAACTTTTCGATTTTGTACCGAGTTAATCAAGGATAAAAGGTTTTTATGCGAGTATTTATTGTAAAATGACATTTTATTTATTTGAACACACAGATACAATGGCATTTTTAGGAAGATGTTGAGGATTTCTTTTTGAGTTTGGTTAATCCCTCTAAAAAGCTGTTCATATAAAGAAACGATATTTTTTAATTCAAACATATTTGTAGATTTTCAATGTGTAAGTATGAAAATTTTATTTCAAGAAATCCAGAAATTTCGTTAAAAGCTTAAATTAAAGTTACAAAGTGTTATAGTATCTTCTCAATAGATAAAACTTCAAATAAGAAAGATTGTTACAAAAAATATAAACTCCTTTAGAATTTACGATTACTCTTATTAAAATAAAAAAGACAAAACGAATAACAATTTTTAGGGTTGAACCCGTATGGTTTAAAAAATTGTGTTATATAGTTTAGATATAGCATAGAAAATCTTTTCAAGAAAGTTCTGCAGAGTGCGTTTTAAAAATTACTTTTCTATTATAATGCGGTCTTATATATGTTAATGCGCTACTGTGTAGCATATTCAAACAGTTATCAAAATTGTCCCAAATCTCAGTCTGTGAGTTAACTTATTTACTCACTGCACCTATCATAGAGAGAGGAGAGATCATACATGTAAAAAATCGACTACTTACAGTTTTCAGTTTTAATAGACGGATTAGCTAATGCTATATTAATCCCAAATCTTGTAAGAAGTTAGTTCTCTTTTTGAAAAGTTTAATCGTTTCTTTGATGGCCTCGTCCTGACAACTTTAACTAAAGTCTATGCTGTTAATATACAAATTATTTGCATACATATCTACTAAACAATGGGTTTTAATAATGGACATAACCAGAGTCATACTATTGTAAAATTTATTCTTTATTTTTATGTGGCATGCTTTTTAATGGAGTTGTCTAATTTTACAGCAGATTTGTTTCATCTGCTAGTCATATACTATCTTTACGATTGCTTTTTGAGAGATAGGACTTTTGAATGAGCATATAAAAATTGTTATCTCTAAAACTAAGTTTCCGAGAAATTAATAGTAGGATGTTTGAAGGAGAATAAAGGAATTATTACATTGCTGCACAAAAGATCTTTCAGGTCGAAGTACATACACAGTCTATCTATAATAATAATAAATAATAGAATATATTATCTCTGAAAATTTCTAAGAAAGTAGTATACATTGCTAGAAGAAGAATATAGGTTTGAAACTCAGACTTTATTATGATTTCCGAGTAAGTTGTAGTAAAATGTTTGCAGGAGGATATAACATACGGATTGCTATATGTGACATTATCGTGTCATATAGAAAAATAGTATTAAGATGGTTAAAAAATGATATAGAATATGAATGGTTTCGAATATATAAAAATATATATCTCTAAAATCACTGATTTCCAATAAAATGGTTATAAGTTGGTCGGTATAAGTCGGTAGCCTTGACATTATTATGATTTCCGAGTAAGTAGTAGTAGATTATTTGAAGGAGATTTAGGGATTGCTATCTCTGACATTATTGTGATTTCTGATAAAGTAGTAGTAAGGAAGAAGTGAGTTAATGCAAGGTAAATATAGGTTTGCTATGTC